CATGTATATATATATATATGGAAAAAAGGAATTAGCTGCAATATAACTTTGAATTTCATATATTTTTAAAAAAAAATATCAGAATCTAGTATAAATAAATAAAAATTAATCAATTTGGGTTTAATCACTTACATTTAAGTTTGACAAAAATTAAGAACAATTGATTTTTTAAGTATATTATTGGTATAACTATTTGTATTGAAGTCTTTTCTTTTAACCACATTTTTTTCCACAAACAAAAGCAATTACTTTAATCATATTTTTTATTATACATTTATTTGAAAATAATATACAAGAGTTAGTAATTAATTATGTTTCAAAGTTGTAGAAAGAAGTTTTAAAGAGCAAAGTCTCATAAACTCATTCTCAAATAATTCTAGAAAGAAGTTTTATAGAGAAGAGTTCTAGGTCTGTGAGCTCTTTTCTCTCCCAAATTTCTTTGTTTGATTCTTTTTCTCCTTTAGATTACTAATATCTTCTGTCTTTTCTTGGAATTCAAGCTAGGAAGCTTGATTTTGGCTGGTTGAAGTCCGCAGGTCAAGCTTTAGTAATTTTTCCTTCTTCCTTTTCTTGGCTATTTTGGGTCAATCTTCAAGTAAAGGAAACTAGAATGTAAGTTGTTTGGTTGCATGTGAGTTTAGAAACTCAATTGGTACATGATTTTGGGGAATTAATAGCTGAATTGAAAGAACTTCCCAACTTCAAGGTTTCGAGCCATTCACTACAAGAAAATGACGATTTTGCGACGGTTATATGGCCTACATTGCGACGGTTAGAACTGCCGCAAAGACAACATTGCGACGGTTTGGGAACCGTCGCAGAATCGTCCGTCACCAGGCAATTTTGCGACGGTTATCAGAACCGTTGCACAAACCGTCGCAAAATTGGAATTGCGACCGTTTCATCAACTGTCGCACCAAATGCCTCTAAATTAATATTACAACCCTGTTTTTACCCGTCGAAAATTATAATTTTTTTTTTATTTTAATAAATTTATTAATGTAACAATCCTCATATTTGGCCTTTCAAGGATTTTATTTCACGATATTTCACTGTTTAACATGTTTTATCCTTACTTGTGCAATTTCTGGGAAACTTCCCAGAAGGTCACCCATCCTTGTACTACTCCAGGTCAAGCACGCTTAACTGTGAAGTTCTGATGAGTAAGCTACCGAAATGTATATGTATGTTGTCAGTATAACTTGTACA